TCCAAACGCCAGGTAAGAAGAATTGCTTGATAATATATGTAATAACATATGGGCGATTGAAGGGATTTATTCTTATATTGGAAGTAAGGGATGAAAAGTTTGGGATTAGAAACAATAACTGATTTTCTTATACTAACTTGCATTCATAAGTTGGGGTGTGTGTGTGTGTGTGTAAGGAGCCTCTATTTCAGGAATAAGATGTTCACACCTGAAAGTTTGTATTGCATTTTTAGGTATACATTTGGAAGAAAATTTGTCTCGGTTATGTAATCAATATCTTTTGCATGTACGTGAGTGTTTTGAACTTTATTTTGATAAAGCTATAATAGGGGGAAACATAAAATAGATTAGTATAGTAGAGATTAATTATTAGAACATAAAGAAATTGAGAATAAATGGATTGGTTAACGAGAAGTTGAGGTGATTTGTCACATCATTTTTTTTTTTCTTAAATGGTGGACAATATTTCAATGTACCTTAGAAATAAATTTCTTCTACTCGTTTTGTTCGACAACTTGAGAGTTTTTGTTAGCATGTAGCTCAACAAGAGCATAATGCAATCAAATGTAGGTGGGTTTTTCATGCCCTTAACAAGAGTTGTAATATTTTATGAGGTATCTCATAATTTTTCACGTATCAATCATGTTCTCAGATGCTGGATAGATTTGAACAACACACTCTAAAATGCTCGTCCTGTAGAAATGCGTACGGCTCCTTTCAGACACTGCACAAGATTCTGGTTGGTGCTGCTGTTGTTTTAACCGCGACATCAGGCATTCCTCCTCAAATGCAATTACGAACAGTTCTGGGGGCATTTGCAATTTTGAGTGCTGGGTTGGCTTATGTTGTTAGTGACATCCAGAAGAATTTTGTGTTTGTTGATTATGTTCATGCCGACATCGATTGAAATCACATGTACAGCTATACTGACAAAAGAGGAAAAAAGTGTGTATATTAGGGTAGGATTTGTTTCACTTGGTAACGTTGAATACTACAGTACATATGGCCGACTACTACAGTACATATGGCCGTTTTCGTTCTAAATACGTTTCGTATACACAGCTATGGTGGTCAAAGTTCGTAGCTTTACATTTATTGCTTCATAGTTGATACTCTGTTGAGTTTCAGTGTAATTTGAGCTTCTGGGTTAGTTTACTGCCCACATCATATTTTTCTTAAATTTTTGCCAACTTATGCAATGAATGAAGATCCCTGTTGCCATCTTAACTAGGCTTTCATGTAAAAATATATTGCTCAAATTCATCGTGCATAACTAAATCATTTTGTTCCCTGAGTTGTACCATTTGGTATTACTCCATCTTTCGAGCAAGACGAAGCTTTGGATGGTTCGAAAACAAATTTAGTCGGATTGATATGCTGAAATTCGTCTCCCCAAAACAATCTGTAATTCCAGCAAATTATATATATATAAAAAAAAAAAAAAAAAATCTTGATTAATCTTTAAACATCTTAAATTCATTGCTTAAAGCTACTTTTGCTTTCATTACTATCAAAATAACCAATAATATCCAACTCAATTCATTAGCAATTTTCTCAAAAAGAGTGAAAAATACATAGCCCCATTTCATCTATTCAGAAATCCACAAAAACAAAATAAAAAGACAAGACCCAAACACTAAGAGCTGGTAAACTTGGTGACGGCCTTAGTCCCCTCCGAGACAGCGTGCTTGGCAAGCTCACCTGGCAGCACCAACCTCACTGCCGTCTGGATCTCCCTAGAAGTGATGGTCGGCTTCTTGTTGTACCTCGCCAACCTCGAAGCCTCGTGGGCGAGCTTCTCGAAGATGTCGTTGATGAAGCTGTTCATGATGCCCATGGCCTTGCTCGAGACCCCAATGTCGGGGTGGACCTGCTTCAGGTGTTGATGTATGTTATCAAATCTGTACATATCTTCTAGGATATTCCGTGAATATTTGATAGGCTATAATTAGGGATTTTCCTTATATTGTAATTAGGGTCTTGTAACTAGTGGCTATATAATGCCCTCTCTAATCATTGATGGATGAACAAGTTTTCTCACAAATCTCTTTGTCATGGTATCTAGAGCAGGCTAATCTTTTCAATTTTTTTCTTTTCTCTCATTTTTCTTCTCCTTGCCGCTGCCATGGTCGGCACTGGCACCGAGACTACTCCCAGAAAAACGATCTCTCCCTACGATATCACTTCCAGCGATAATCCTGGCCTTTTAATTACTCAAGTTCAATTAAAAGGCGATACCAACTACGAAAAATGGTCCCGTAGTATGCGCACTGCTCTTCGGGCTCACAAGAAGTTCGTTTTTTTGGATGGGTCGATCGCGTGTCCTCCAGCCAACAACGAGTTGTTTGAAGATTGGCAGGCGAACAACTCTCTTTTGCTCTCATGGCTTATGAATAGCATCGACGCCACACTCTGTTCTTCGTGGTGGAACAAGAACTTGTCCAGGATCTTTGGTATTCCTTGAAGGAGCGATTTACAATGAATAATGGTCCTCGGATTCAACAACTTAAATCCGATCTTGCGGCTTGTAAGCAAAAGGGCATAAGCATTGAAGCCTACTACGGTAAGATTTCAAAACTTTGGGAGGAATTGGCAGATTATGATAAATCTCCCATGTGCAAATGTGGTCTTTGTAAGTGCAACTTGCCTCTTGAATGGAGTCGT